CCAACGCTAAATATATCGATAACGAAAAATATACCGATAAGGATACATGTATCGATAAATAAATATCTATCGCTAATAATAATACCCATAATGATAAATGTATCGATAAAGAAAAATGTATTGGTGATAATTATATCCATAATGATAAATGTATGGACAATGATAAACGACAAATATATCGCCAACGATAAATATACCCATAACGATAAATATACTGATGACGATAAATATACCTATAACGATAAACATACCGACAAAGATAAATATATCGATAGCGATACATATCGTCGATGTTTTTGCAAAACCGCCTAAATCGCCGTTGTGGCAAAAATGAGATTTGGTAACCCTGAACTCCATGCATCGAGATTTATGCATAAAAATCTTAAAATCGTTATTAAAACAACAGATTTGTAAATTAATAGCTAGAGAACATACCACCTATCAAGGCAATGCCTTTAAACAAAACCCGTTTTTTCGCTCTCCGGTAAAAATTGAGTGGCGTAAGATAAGCGGTTTTGCAATTGGTCGATGGGCGGTTGTGCAAAAACATCGACGATATGTATATACATACATATATCTATAGCGATAAATACCTATGTATGTATATCTAAAAATATGTATATCGATAGCGATAAATATATGTATAGGTATTTAGATAAGTATATCGATCAACTTATCGTTGAATTTACATACTAATAACACATCGGTAACTCAAACGATAAATGTACTGATAATTGTTTCGATAAATACGTATATCGATGTCGGCATGGATTTTTAAAATTACACAAGCAAACAGTTTTCCATCGAAGTTTCGCGAGTACTAATTTATGTTTAGTTTTTTAACCGACTTCCAAAAAAGGAGGAGGTTATCAGTTCGTCGGAATATTTTTTTTTTTTTTTTTTTTTTTTTTATGTATGTTACCGCATAACTTTGGACCACGTCAACCGATTTCGATAATTTTGCATCGGGAAGGTAGTGTCTCAGAGGTGGTCTAATCTGGTTGAGATCCGATCAGTGGATCATGAGATATATATATATATATTTTTTTTTTTATATGGGAGTTGAAGTCGGTTTTTTTTTTGCTAAAAATTCCTAATTTACTATCCCTGTGTAACATTGCCAAAGACTTTTACAAATTTTTTTGGCACGTTTTTACAACAAAAAGGCATTAACATCTCTTTTAGAAACTCAAAATTTATTGCAAAATTCCACCATACTAACTTCCAACACCACCACTCATGAAGAACGATGAAGTTTGCAGGCCATAGAGAGAGGCAACCTCACAGATACCACTCCACATGATCATCTTTAGCGGGTACTCGGGTGTGTGAACTTTAATCTCATCGGCTGCGCAGCAATGACCGCGCGAAAACACACTTTTCTTTGATATGATATGTATTTGAAGAGCTAATAATAAACTTCTTTTTTTTAATTCTATTCTTTTTCACAAAGGCGAATTGCACACTTTCGCAATGGAATATGCAATACGAAAAACAAAGCAAAATTAAATCACAAGAACCGCTTAGCAATTTTTTCTTAGAAAATTTTTACGGGAAGGCTTTATTTTTTTATCTGGACTTTACCAACTTTTTATCATAAATTTTTTCTTGAAATCAAGCTTATCACTTTTGTATTTTGCGACACCTTATTGCTAAAACAAAAAAAATCCACAATGCCCACTCAGAGATAAGCGTTATTTTCTGTTTACGATTTCCGATAGCTGAGCGCAAAGCAACAGTGTAAAAGAATTCTTCAACAACACTTGCTCTTTCGACTCCTTCAGCTGCCAGAGCAGTGGAGAACGCTTGCACGCTTGTGAATTCTTGCCCGTGAACTATTTTTCAATTGTCACAATAATCGATCATAGACCCACCACCGAAAAAAGGAGAAAGAATAAAAGCACCAACAGAATCAAAAAAAAAAGAAATTGTCGCTGTCAAATGTGCCGCAACCGCAGCCCCAGTCAGCCGCAACAGCCACTGTCAATACTCGTATGCCAAAGCGCGAAGGCAGTAGCGTACTTACTATGTGCAAATGCGAAACAGAAGAGTGCGAGTATGCAATCGCGTTAAGATGGTACGCGAAAATAAATTGAAATTAAATGAACTGTTAATGTGTTAGTACAGTACTAAATAAAGCGATTGTATGTATGCACATTAGGGTGGTCCTTAAATGAAGGAAGCACATTTTTACATCAGATTTCCTAGGCCTCAACCCCTACGTCGATACTACTATAGTCGAAGATATCACATATAAATTTTGATCCCGATTGAAGACGGTGAAGACGAGTCGCACAGGGGGCCAAGTTCAGATTCCCCTATGGAGGCTTAAAACATTAAAATTAATTTTTTTCATCTAATACCCAAAATCGATACTACCATAATCGAGGATATCACATATAAATGTTGGTCCCGATTGGAGACGGTTAAGGCGTGTCGCACAGGGGGCAAAGTTCAGATTCCCCTATGGAGACCCAAAAAATTAAAATTATTTTTTTTTTTTCATTTAATACTCAAAATCGATACTACCATTGTTGAAGATATCACATCTAAATTTTGGTTCCGATTGAAGACGGTTAAGGCGTGTCGCACAGATAACCCTTTGAAAACGTGTTAACCGACTCCAATCGAGGCCAAAATTTATATATGACATCCTCGACTTAGTAGTATTAAATGAAAAAAAATAATAATTTTTATTGTTTGAGTCCATAGAAGCATTTGACCTTTGACCTTTGCGATACGCTTTAACCGACTTCAATTGCGACCAATATTTATATGTGATGTCCGCGACTTTAGTAGTATCGATTTTGGGTATTAAATCGAAAAAAAAGTATTTTTAATTCTTTGAGTCCATAGAGGCATCGTTCATTGTTTTTTTAAGGCCCACCCTAATGTATATATGCATATAAATATACATATGTATATAATTCTTGAGTGCTGCGTTCTATGCACAAAAATTTCCTCGCTCCGACAAAGCGTCCACAAGAATGTATAGCTCTCCGATTTTAAATATTTTTCATTTATTTTCTCCGTTATATCAATTTGTATCAGCTACCTAGCAGGAAGCTCTCTGATGCTAACTCAATACTCAGATACAGCGGGTGAGTGATTTAGTAAAGTTTCAAACCGTTCTTTAGAATTGATGTGATTAATGGAGTGGTAGACATGGAAGAGATAAGTGACATGATTGAACGAAATCAGCGGGGTTGAACTTTGACAGAAGAAAAATAACTCCGAAAACTAAAAACCTACTTGAAAACCACACCACCACCACCACCACCACCACTGTATGTACTCTGCAGGAAAAAGGTAGTGGCAAAGATAATTTTTTTAGAAAAACATGGTTCATACTACAATAAAAAAACATAAAAATATAATTTCTAAACTTTGTGCAAAGCTAAGGAAAATTCAATAAATTTTCATGCAAGTTTTCAACTCAGTTAGTTAAAAAACCGCGTTGATTTTTGAGAATTTTTTATTAAGAGGGGTCACGAAATATCCTAATGGTTTTGCAAATCTCGAATGATCCCGAGAAGTGTTGAAAAAAAAAATGTAAAATCCCATAAAACTTAAAGGTCGCGTTTTCTGACTCTTCTGGCTTTTTCCTTATCATGAGCAAGTTGGTGCAATTATTTTGAAGTAAAAAGCAAACAAATTTAGTTGACTTATATTTTTTTTGCTTTTTTCTGCTTTTTTTATGGTTGAATTGAAATGCTAAGTTTGCCTTTTATTTTATCGATAACTGGTACTTTGCATTTTTAAAGCATTAACCAAAAGCAAAGTCAAAGTTTAAATATGTTTTTTGGATGTGAGCATTCCCGAAAAAGATTGAAAGTTCCGAAAAGACTCGGGAAATTTATAAAAATTCCCAAGTTTCTCAAAAAGTCCCGCAAAAATCAAAAAAAAACTGTCAAAAAGTTCCAGAAAGTACCAAAATTGCCGAAATAGACGGAAGCGTTCCAAAAAATTCAAAAAGTTCTTAAAAATTTCCGAAAAGAAAAACACGAAGGGTCTCGCAAAATCCTTAATGGTCTTGAAAAATCTCGAAGGTTATCGAGAAGGTTTAAAAAATTCTAAAAATTCCCTGAAAAGTTAAGGTCCAAAAAGATTCATAAGAGAAAAAACGATAGTATTCGAAAAAATTCGCAAATTTTCCTTAAATATCCAAAAATTCAAAAAAATAAAACACGACACGAGAAGACCTCAGCAGTCTGCAGAAAAACCCGAGAAATTTTTTTTAATTTCAAAACAAACGCCAGAAAAATTTGGCAGCATTTTGCTTTTTTAACAAAAATTATGGATAGTTTTATGTTAAAAAAATATCAACCAAGCATTGACTTGCCTTTTAGCCTTAAAAAATGTAATGCAAAAATTAATCGGTATTTCTTGCTTAAAATATTTTTTTTTTTTGTAAGTTTGGGGGAAATCATATACAATGGGAGAGGGTTTTAATGGTACCTTCGAAAAAAATAACTGCAGATTATTTGGTAATAACACTCTTTTATACTCTTGCTATGTTAATTGTCTTCGTCATGTTAACTAACAGACAACATTTTTTACAACTTAAGGCCCAATGCACGCTTGCTTTGCTTGCTTGGCTTTGAGAACTGTCAAACAATTTTTAAAATCTACTAAAATGTATGAAAGTTGGAAGTTCAAAGTAAAGCAAAGCAAACTAAAGTAAGCAAAGCAAGCAAAGCAAGCGTGCATTGGGCCAATACCTTCACTCTGTTACACTATGTAGTGTTAACTAACCGTTGAGACCCTATACCTGAAAGGTTTCAAATCTTTGGTTTTACGGTTAATAAGTTTACACCTTCTCCTTCTACATATACATACACGTCTCGATATATACATACAAAGAAATATAAGGACGTTCTCTATTATAAGTGCATACTCATGACAATTGCACTTGTCACCGCAACAAAATTTAGAATCTTAAGCACACTTGTTACTCAGCACACATTCATACATACATACATATGTGTGTAGGTACTTACCTGTTGCATAGGCTGGTTCGATTTCCTCCTCCGAATGCAAATGTTGTTGCTGTTGTGTTGGCACAGTCGGTATAGGAACAGGTATAGGTAGACGCTCATAGTGTATGCATTCATGGTGATACTGATGATGATGATGCCCATTGTGTATGGTGCCGAGTGTACTGCTGCGCCCGCCACCACTACCACCACTGCCACTACCGCCACCACCGCCGCCGCCACCCATGCCACAAACATTCAAGCCACTACCCTCGCTGCCATGCAGACTGGTGCGATGTGGATTCTCCACTATGCCGCCGCCCATCATGCTCATGCCTATGCCAACAACGTTCATGCCAACACCCGCCGCCCCACTTATGCCACCAACGACACTGGATGTGCCCATGCGACAGCCGCCGACAAAAACACTGCCACCACTACCACCACTGCCACCGCCGGAATCGTCAGTGGTGGTGGTGTTGGTTGTTGTTGTATTCATGGTATTGTGGCAGCGATTGGAACAACGTCCCAGCGAACCGCTGCCACCGCCGACGACGCTATGGTGCCCAATCATGCCTATGCCCATGCCGATGTTAACGCCAACGCCAACGCCTCCTACACCACCGATCATATGCGCCGGCATATGGCTGCCAGCGTTAATACCTCCCATGCCCACGTTCCCGCCGACGCCGCCACCGGCACCCATTGTGGAGCCGCAGCCTTGACTCGAGTCTGAACCGGAGTCATGACCCGGACAAGCGCCAGCCGAACCGGGTCGTGAACCGATCAAACTCATTGTCGAATGGGGCGGCGTTATCGATGTAGATGTTTGCATGTAATGATGCGTATAAGGATGCGGATGTGGTACATCATAGTCGCCGGTATCAATAGCGCCCGACAGCATGCCGACGCTGCCGCTAGTGCTTGCGCCGCCGCCAACACCGCCACCAGCGCCGCCGATGCCTCCAGCGCCCATCAAGTGGCCCATGCTTCCCTGCAGACAACCCATTGAGCCGTGCGCACTGCCCGGTCCGCCGCCACCGTAGCTACCGTGATGACTACCACCATGAATGCTACCATGAGCGCTACCGCTGCGGCTGTGCAGCGAAACGCCACGCGTCAACGTATTATTTGCCGATTGTATCGATGAGACTACAGCGCCACGACATAGAATATCCGACAGCTGATTGGCCTGTAGACCGTAAAATTTCGACTGAATTTCGTGTTTGCGCAATAAATTAACGAAAAGGCGATGAAGTTGATTGATTGATTGGTTGGTTGGTCAGTTGATTGTGAGGTGGAATGTGTTGCCAACGTTTGTGTGTTTTTTTTTCGAAAATTTTATTTTTGTTTCCAATTCAAATACGAGGCGTATAAGGTTGTGAGGTGAGTTGTAAATGATGAGTCCATGCAGCATTTAATGGTAATTTTTTTGATTTGAGAATGCATTGAAATATATATTTACTTTGAATTAATTCAAGGACAGAAACATATATCTTTTTCATAGTTCCAAGGATTTATTTCATTTTATATTTTTATTTAATTTTTAAGCATAGATTTCAATAAACCAAAACGAACATAAGAACTCAAGATGTAACGAAAAAAAAATGTTTATAGGAAAAAATTTAATTTAAGGATAATGCCGAATTTCCACCAGGCATTTCAAGACAATTGCTTTGTGCCGTTTAAAAACGCCATCCGAAATGAACTTAATGACTTTTTTATTAAAGTAATGACACGGGTATTTTTATAATCCCCAACTTTGTCATTCTAAATCTAGGCTCATTTAGTGTCCAGTGGAAATTTGGCATAATGATCATCACATAACCCTACAAATAAGCAAATTCTTTGCTTGCATCATTGAATCCGAAATTAAAGTCAGAATTCAAAAGTTATGGGTCTTTTCTTTTTAACCTCAAAAAACTTGCTATCATTTTGGAGGTTAGAGAGATAAAAATAAAAATAAAAATAAAAAATAAAACTTTTGAACTCTGATTGCAGATTCGTATTCCGTAGTCAGAATCCAAAAATTGGTAGGTCTTTTCATTCTAACCTTAATAAACTTACTAAAAATGCACCATAGTAGTAATTTTTTATGGGTTAGAAGGAAAAAGCAAGATAGCTTGATTGTTGATTCGGATTCCTTTCTTTATGAAAAAATAAAAATTGTAGAACAGTGTTAAATACAGATTCTGGAAATATAGCACAGTCTCAGTTAATTAATTACTTCTTTTTGATTGTCGAACAAATCTAGTAGTTCCCTATAGATTTTGAGTTGGTGGATCCAAATTGGAGTCATTATTCAAAAGTTGGTTAATTTTTTTTCTGTCTGAATAGAATGTCTTATAAATGTATCAAAACAATAAGGGTTTTAAGGTTAGAAAGGAAAAGAGAACGTCAAATTTTGAACTAAAATTAATTTATTCCCTTAAGATTTGACCGAAAATGTAATGATCAGAAAAATATAAATAAAACATTAACCATTTTATGGCAAACATGAAAATTTAAAAATTTAAGTTTGATCGAAAAAAGAAAAAACCGCGTGTTTTGGAAAAAACATAAAATTTAAAAAAAAAATCAAAAAATTTAATTAAGAAATATCTTTTGGTTACTTTTTTGATCTAACAACAATTTACGGTGGTAGAAAAATAAATGGTGACACGACATTTTAACAAATTTTTCCAATTTTCCTTTTGTTTATTTAATATTTGTTATTTTTTATAAAAGTATAGTTCATTATCAGAAGCTCGGCCACACACTAACATATGAGTAAGCGCCAATCTATTATTATTATTATTATAGCTCATTATCTAACAAAAACCATTAAATTCATATTTCAAACTTTGTGCAAAAATTATAAAAATTCTGCAAAATTGCGTATTTTCAACTTTCTAATCCGATTTTTTTAGAATTTTATTGAGTATGCAATTAGCAATAGCCCATTAAATTTTCGTGAAATAAAGTCCAAGTTTGAAGTTCCTAAACAATCGCGTTGACTTTTGATAATTTTTATTCTGAATGTATTACGCACTTTTTCCATAAAAACAAAAAATCGAACATACTTTGTATGGAAGAAAATGCGTAAAAAAATTTGCAAACTTGCACTTTATTCTACTAAAATTAAATGGGCTATAAAATTGCATACTCAAAAAAATCTGATTAAAATGTTGAAAATTTAGATGCAACTTTAAAGAATTATTATAATTTTTGCACAAAGTTTGAAATATGAATTTATATGGTTTTTGTTAGACAATGAGTTATAATCTTATAAAAAAAATATAAATATTAAATAAACGAAATAAAAATAAACAAAATTTTAAAAAATGTTGTGTCCCTATTTTTTTTTTTTTGAGGCCACACACTATAACACAATAATAATTTTACACAAAAATTTTCATTAAAAAATAAAAAATATAAAAATCAACAAAATGAGAATAAAATGTTAAATAAAAATAAATAAAAAATATGGAAGATTTATAAGACATACAAAAATTAAAATAAACAAATTAAATTAAACAAATTAAAATGAAAAAAATAAAAATAAATTAAATTAAAATGATAAAAAATATAAAGGAAGAAAATTTATTAAAGTAAGATTAAAACAAAACAACTTATGGAAAAACCATCAAGTATTATCGAAATAAATTTATATCTTAAAGTTTTATTCTTATCATGATTCGGTCCCCGATATATTCACTATATATACATATGTATATGTAAATATATACATATGTATGTATGTATATACACACATGTGTACGGACTTATATGCCTATAAATATTCACAAATTTAGCCCTACATCCACTCACCTGTGGACTATCCAATCGGTCCAACGACTGTCGACGCGACGGATAATCATCCAAATTAAGTATTTGTTGTGCGGCTGGACAATTCTTATTCGAATGTTGATGCAAATGCTGTTGTGAGGAAGTTAATTGAGGCGGCGGTGGTGGTGTAATCGAACCGCACGGACTGCCCGGACATGGACTACCCGGACAGGGGCTACTACAACGACTGCGACATGTTGGACTATAACAGAGATTTGCTTGTGCGCCAGATGGTGTATTCGGACAGGTATTAGAATTGCCACTGCCAGTGGCTACGCCGCCATTGCCGCCACTATTAGCATTATTTGCCGAAGCCGAAGCGGCAACTGTAGTATTTTGTGCATTATTGCAGGTTGTATCCTCGTCCTGTTGCATTAAATTCACCGGCAAAGGTGTACATTGCGTATTGCGACGTGGCGAACGACCACGATCCACTGTGGTGGCACTCCAATAGCCCCACGCCATGTTGTGGTATGGTAAATAGTACTACTGGTGAGGGGGGGGTGGACTTTTTTCGTTTTTTGGTTATCAGGTTTTGTATAAATTACTTTTTTTAGTTTTGGTTTAACTGTTGTCTTCTTTTGGATTTTTTTTTGTGTTTTTATATCCTTTGAGCTCTATGGTTTCTTTTTGCACTGACTTTGTTTTTGTTGTTATTTTCACTTTTCAACACTGTTTTTTAATTTTCATTAAAATTGCAGCAGCCTTGATTAAAATATGCATTAGTTAAGCTTGTGAATTAACTTTTCATAAAAAAATTGCTCATACGATATGGCGTACACATCCTCTACGGTGTATGTATCACTTATACGACATGTCGAACACTTTCAATGCTCTGATATTTTGTGCGCTTTAAGTTCACCAAGCTTAGGTGTAAACAAAATTTAAGTGAATGTGCATAATATACCCGCCGTAAGCCAAAGCATGTCGATTCAGTTCAGATATTCTCAACTTACATCAAAAATATTCTATCGAGTATTTACTCTAGTAAAAGACAATATCTGCAAAATATTTGTACGCACACATATGTTAGCCGAATTGAAACTAACAGAGATGAAAAGCTACCGTTGCAACGTTTTAGAATAAAGTTTTCACAATAAAAAAAAAAATTTTACATACATATGTATGTATCTCCTCATATATAAATACATATTCTATGTGCTTTGGGCACACCTCGATAGCATGTGACACCATAAAAAATATCAGAAAACAACAAACAGTAACATATAAAAAAGACACAAAAAACAATACAAAAACTACCGGGCAAGCAAAAACAGATGGTATCCTACACAACGATAAACAACAACATAAAAAAACAAATGAACTCGCATGAAGAAGGGCGTGAAAAGGAGAAGAGAAAAGGGGACATACCAACAAGAGAGCAAAGAAGTTTTTAAGGACAAAAAATTTAACAAGAGTGAAAACCCGGAGAGAGAGACACACACACACACACAGAGAGTACACCAAATGAGTGAGTGCGCACATAGCGCTGAGAGTGCTAAAGTTAAATGAGACCAATTGTGCGCTCGAACCAAGCACGAGGACAAGAACGCAGGCGAGAGGCCGCCAAGTAAAAAATGTTTGTTCAGATGAGTTTTAACAGTGAAATAAATGACAATGTAACTACATACGTAACATATTTTTATTTAAATATTTCGCTGCAATTTTTGCTGATTTCTGTGTATAACTTTTATATTTTGAGATTTTTGTAGCCATTTAAGTGCATTCATTTAGTACGGCATTTCGTTTCGCCAATGTTGGCGCTGCACAGCTTTTATTTGGCGAAAATATTTTTTGCAGCCACGCCCAATATGATATGTTTGTATGTGCCATTAAATAAAGAATGCTGTTCTAGTCAAAAGTAGAAACGAAAATAAAAACTCAAAAAATAAAAATACAATATGTAATACATGTAGCATTAAAAAATAATATACTTATATTTTTTTT